TCTGCTTAGATTGATCTCATGTTTATACGAATATAAACCTGACCGTACCCCTCAAATGGAATACGAAGTAGCCCATAAGTTGATGTCCGCATTTCAAACTGTTACCTGTTTCCAGCGTAGTAGTTACATAGTTGTCGTCGCCATACGATACACTGGTCATTCCTTTAAAGTGGAGTTTTTGTACTTTTTATATTAATTCATGTACAGTTTATTAATTATGATTATTTTTCTAGTAACGTAAATTGGCATATTTTAGGATATGTTATTTACCGCGTTCGCGTAAGGAGAGGTGGCCATAAACGCCCCGTCACAAAGGGACAGACTTATGGAAAGCCGAAATCCCATGGTGTCAATCAGTTGAAGCTGGCCAAAAGTCTCAGAGCTGTGGCCGAGGTAGAAAGCTTTTTCTTCTGAATCGTTCGCTTTTCTAAGGTACAGATTTGCTGCTGTTTGTAGAGCAGGTATTACGTGGCAAAAAAGTGGACTAAATACAAATCAATGCCAGGGACAGCCTGATTGATAATCATAAACTATTTTTAAACGTGACTGAACTCTCGTTTACTGATGAGATCGCCGTGCTAAAGAAGATAATAGAACGGGAAGGCCTTCCAACTACCCTGTCTTGCAGCATCCATCGACTTCTGAGCAGCTTTCGAATCTGTATACCATCAGTCTGTGGCGCATCCTGCGACACTGTGGAGTACCGCAGAAGATCATCGGTCTGCTGAAAGGATCGTACGAAGGAATTATACGCGCTGCAAGAGCTGAAGAGTCGTTGTCGGTTTGGTTTAAAATCAACAGTAAAGTGCACTATGGAGAGGTGCTTTCACCACAGAGTAATGGAATATGTTATATAGAGGAGCGTCGTCCTTAACAACAGCGAGTAATTTACTATCAAATGACCACTCAGCCCAAGGTACTCATAGCAGATCTCGAGTACGCTGACGATACTGTACTGCTGAGCGACTCCGCCAATGGCTTATTGACAGTAACTTGAGAAGTGTGCAAGGTGGCATCGACGGTAGGCCTAGATGTTAACCCCACCAAAATGAAGATCTTGCGAGCACCCGATTCAACTAATGACGAAAGGGTTTGATGGCGTGGATCGACCATCGAGGAGGTCGAAAATTGAAGCAGCTCTACGTAGGTTTAGTGGCATTTAGGGCTGGCGTCTGCGAACTTCAGGTGATTTTCTAAAGTATGGTAAGATCGTTGTGTCAGGACAGCAGCAAAGATCGCCATCCTGAAGGCCGCAGTCTTCTCAGTCCCGAAGTACAGCCTTGAAACTCCACTACTTTTAAAACGTCATAAAAAGATGATGGACGCAACGCTGCCTGCAGGCATACTGAAAGTGCGGTAATTCCATCGAATGAGATCGATCTTGAAGACCAAATGAATGAGAATTCTGTCTAAAGAAATCAGATTCCAGCATCTGTCATGGTTTGGCATAATCATCCGGAGAGAGAATGGAGACTTATCCAAATTCATTCTCCTTTTGGAAATTAAAGATGGCCGCAGGCGTATCGGAGGCCAATATCGCACCCTAAAGCAGCTGCTAGACTAGCCTAAGCTGTCGAAGTTTGGGGAATCACTAGGACCAGCCGATATTCGACCTCGAATTGCCGCCGAAGCTACACTGTGTTGTCATTGCATGTGAAATTTTGCTCCGTTCACAGGCAGGATTCATGGTAGCCTAGCGTATTTTGCACAGACCGGTTCACAAATTCCTTCCGGTTTTTTATGGAAGTTTTCTCTTCTAGCCTTTGACGAACTGACATCTAACTGTAAGGAAGAGGTTTCATTGGAATGATCTGGTCAAACTCGAAACTTGCCATGGCCTGGTTGTCTCACCATTCATTGCCTGTACATGACTTCTTATTTTTCGCAGCCTGTTTCCATACTT